ACTACCACTTTTACCAGAGTATTTTTTTAACACTATTTTTTAAACCAAAGTATCTGTACTTTTACTCAAGTACGGAAAGTGAGTACTTTTGCCATCTCGGTTAGATCTAAAGCAGACCCTAAATGTTCCCTCATCTTAGCTCCTCACAGACCAAAGTTTGCGGAATCTCAACAGTCTGATTCTGGGTTATTGGTTCTAGTCAGACTTTCTTCTTCTCTATTCTTTAAATTTTTCATGTTGGATTTTTCTCTTTAACAGTGTTCCTAAAGGAAGACAGAAATCTGTTTTTTATGAGCTGCAGCTCTATTAGGAGGAAGAAAGAGGAGCTCAAGCTTTAATGGAAATGATTTTATGTTTGGGAACGGATTTGATCTTAAAGAACCTTGGAGGCCCCCTGTGTTCTGAAGAACTTTAAATGGGCCGATGTCTCCTGGAGCAGCAGGCTGTTAAATAACGGGAGAACCAGAAGTACTGATGGTGCTTTGAGGCAAAATCCAGAAACCAAAACAGATAAAAAACAGGAAACTGGGCTTCTGTTCAGACAGAAAGGTTAGAAACGAACAAACCGGATGGATTTTCTCCAGATTAATATCACCAATAAAACCAAAACTGCTTTATTTGATGAAATGACTGTAAACAGATTTCAGTTGGATTTTTATCTGAAGCTCAAATAAAAACCTGCAGATATTTTTCTTCTGACTTTTTGTAGAAAATCCAAAATATTTTAACTAAAGATCCTCCAACGGTTCAGTGACACGCAGCTAATTTTAACTTCTCCAACATGAAAAAACATGTCTTTATTTGTTTACCTTAAAGTTAGCAGCTGTTAAACATCAGGAGACCCAATCGATCATGGGAACAGTTTTATTTCTGCACTGTGACCCAGAATCAGTCAGTTGGGGGTCCTACCTGTGTGTCCCTGTCAGCGTCCTCTCTGCTTTCACCAACTTGTTTACCGACACAGACGCACACTGACCCGGCTGTGTGTGTGTGACCCAACAAACTATTTTTACCAGCATCCTGCTGCATGTGCGTGAGCGTCACATGACGCCTGCGCTCCTCGCACACAGCAGGGCTTTAATCTGTGCCATCATGCTGTGGATGCTGAGGAGCTAACTGGACCAATACAGACCAGTATGAAGCCTGATTCCCAGTTAGACTCTAACCTTCACACATGTGACCAAACAAGACCCTAATCGGTTAAATACGGAGTGATCCCATTAAAGGGGAGGATGATATTCTACTCTAAGGCTTTAGTTTTAGGTTCTATAATGTTTTCTGTTAATTATAGTGTTGGGAATAGATAAACTACTGCATAGACAGCAAGGACGACATATTTTCTTTATAAAATAAATCCCTGCTGTTCTCCATGTTGAAAATATGATCACTTAGGAATTTCCTCCTTTATCCACATTCAGTAAATGTTCAACTTAAATGTAAGTGTACAGAGTAAAGTTAATAAGGATATAGGGTAGTGTTTGATGGGTTGCCAGAAAACTGCTAAAAAAACTTCAGCTTATTATCTCTCAAATGGATTAGTGATAAACCTCATTCAGTAACTCAGCGATACAGAAAATAGATTTAAAAGGATTCAGTGGAGAGTCTGGGTGGTAAAAACTGGCAGCTTTAAGGCCCTCTGGCGGCCCCTGGTGGATAAACTGCCCACTGGCACGTGTTCAGACCTCCTATAATATGTAGCTTCTTTTTTTTAAAGTTCAGAGGGCGAGTTTTTTCAAAAATTAGTGAAAATCACTCTTATCTACCTGGATATATTCTGGAGTTCTGAAACGCCTCTGTCATTCATGTCTATCTGAGGGCTGAGGGTCGGTCAATGAGCCAACTTTCGTCTCTTCTTTCCTCTTCTTGCTCATGGTGTTTCATGTGTATATATTTAAACTGCATCTAACCAACGTTTTATAAACCATACAGTTTGCTGTTGTTTTCATGTATGGTATTTTCTACTCCAATGGTCTCTTTCTCTCTCCAGCTTCTGAACAGTGCAGTTCTTTGTGTGTCAAGTGGAGAGAGAGCAGAGTGGGCGGGGCTAGGCTGAGCCTGGGGTGGGCGGCTCCCAACATCTCTGCAACAGACTTCCCTTTCTTCCCCAACCTCTGATCTGGCTGTGGTGTCACTACTGTGTCAGGAATCTAGTTGGGAGGAAGAAATTTAAACGATTAATATCCAGAGTATCAGTAGAACATCTTTCTTCTGTGACAGAGAGACAGACAGACACACAGCCACATGCATGCGCCTGTGCGCGCACACACGCACACCCGTTCCTACTACCACAGGCCAACCCGTTCCTTACCTTCTTCCATATGGCAGCATGTTGGCACCTCAGATGCCGCTTGAGATTCGCTGTGTTCTTCCCTGCCATGTTGA